GGGGGGGGGGGGGGGGGGCACAAAAAAAAAACTTAAGTTATGAACCAATTTGCTGCCCTTTAATGATCCTAAATCATGGGAAAAAGACATAAAGTGCTTTTGGTCAGAGGTCAACAACTGCCGCTAACAAGGTGCTCCATGGGAACTCCTAATTGTTTTTTATGTGGGTTGCCGTAGGAACTGGTAAACACGATAATGAGGGGTGACTGCAGTGCAGACATACGCATATGTGTGCTTTGGAGTGTGCACACCAAGACCAACCACACTTATAACACAAAAGCAAGAGGAGCATTGTTAGACAGTAAGATGTCTGTGCTGCTAGCCTCCTTTGATCACAGCCTTGGCTCAATCATACTCCAGACTGTGCATTTGGCTCTGAAAAGATAGTCATGGCTTTCTGCTCATCAATAGATGCATTACCACCCAGTAAAATAAACCAATAAGGACATGCAGATGTACTTCTGTACAAGACAGTGCAATTATAATAGCCATTTAAATTGAAGCTTGTTGCAAGTTTCACATATTAGCACTGCGTGCATAAGTAATTACTGCTGTTACTGATGTTTCCTATGGGCCGGCATCTGCTGGAAATCAGGCTTTTGTCTGTAGAATAACAGCCAGTGCAGCAAGAACACACCAGATCTAACTATTCCCTTTCTTTCTGATATTTGTAGACAAAGAGGGCTTGCATGCTCCGGATGGTCTCGAAAGGCCAGCTGAATAACATCTTGATCCATGAATGCAAATCAGCACATGTATTATTATACATCAGTGTCAGCACGTCATATACTCATTCGCTGCTCGGAATTTGACTGTACATCTGTTTGGCCTGAATGGAGAAATCAATGCAGGAATGCCCACAAGCTGCAGAAGGGCTGGGTAAAAGGTTTTGCAGCCAGTTTTTCACCATGAAGACAGTTACAAAAGAGGCCTCTCACAAGGGTTTGAAGTCAAACTGGGCTGGCCTTGCTTTGCTCTCGGAGTGTGCAAAGCCCTAAAGAGGACGAACAGAGGGAACTGTTCAGCCACTTGAACCAAAATATGTCACTCTGAAAAGCTGCAGTGAAAGGAAGCTTTCCACTTCTCAATAACAACTTTGGTTAAAGGTTCCTACAGGTTCTTGGCTTGAGGTTCCATGAGCTAAGTATCTCTGAAAAGTCATTTGGGTGGCTCACTGGGTTTTACTGCATGTTTGCAGAGCATAGGGAAAAGGAAGAAAGAGGACAGTATTTTATTGCAATTCTGCTGTACTCTGACGCTGCTCGAGGGGATCTCTAATTGGATCAACAACTGTCTGATTCCCATCAGCCAGCTTGACCTGTCTGCCCAGACTAAGGAAGCTGTGTCTTATGGGAAAGAGAGAAAAGGAGTGGGAGGGAGAGAGAGAGAGAGTGAGAGACATGGAAAGACACAGGCAGACAGATGAAGAGAAGAGGAGCGCAAGGGTCAGTGTTCTAGAAATAGATAAAGATGAAGAAAAACATGGAGTAGTTATGACAAAAAAACAAATGGTAAGTGGACAGGACAAACGAGAAGGGACATGGACCAAAACTAGATCGGAGTAGCATATACGTCGCCATTTTCCGACTAAAACGGACAAACTCAGAATGGCCGCCAACCAGGAAGGCAGGAGGCAGCAGCTTCCCTACAGGCAGGGCTTTGACGGATCCCAGTCGATAGCTCTCACAACTGCCACGCTGGCCTCGCATCCTTCAGCGTGGAAATGAAGACAGTCTGCCAGCCGTTTCGCTGACAGGGACGGCACACATGGCTCAATGACACGGCCTGATAAATAGAGCGGCCGCTGAGAGGGGAGCTCGACAGAGAGCGAGACAAAGAGGGAAGGGAAAGGGAGATAGATGGAAAGACGGATATGGTTTCATACAGAGACAAAAAGAAATGGGTAGACAGCGACAGAAAGGGACGGAGGAGAGAGAGACTCAGCAATGGTAGAAGTGACAGGCGCAGTCCAGTTTTCCCGCTTCCAATCCATACTATATAGATGTGAGATTAGAATAGGTAGAAGGATGTCAGCAACGCCTGGCATCCGCTACACATGCTCTATAGCTATTGATCAGACCTTGCTCAGACTTTCCCATAGAGGGCTCCTGCAGCACACTAGCCGATACAGGCCTGAGATGATATTATGGATTACGGGAAGGGAAGTGGAGGGAAGAGCCCTGGATGCGTGCGGTAGAAGCCTGATCGATGAGCTATTGCGCACTTAACAAGAGTAATGTTATGTAGGGAGTCTCTGACATGCTAATCCATCTCTCACTCTCTCCGCCCGTCTCCTTTGATCGCATCTCTCTCAGTCGTGCTTATCTCCTGTCTTTCTATCTCTTTACCCATTTCTTTCTTGCTTGTTTTCTCTATCTATCTATCTATCTAGTCTATCTATCCTATCTATCTATCTATCTATCTATCTATCCTATCTATCTATCTATCTATCTATCTATCCATATCTATCTATCTATCTAATCTATCATCTATCTATCTATCTATCTATGCACCACTGAGCAGACACTGATTCCAGACCTGGTTCAGACAAATAGCAAACAGAGCTGATGGATGAGATGAGTCTGAAAGGCAGCAGACAACAACTATTGACTGAGACTATCTTATGGGAATGGGAATACTTATAAAAGCGATGTGTGCATGGTTTTGTGTCTATGAATATGCAGACATCGATGAAAATGTGAAATTATCTAACAGAAAAGGTGAAGAAGATTCTGCACAAATACGGTGCTCTGATTATTTTAGCAGATGAAAATGTGGTTGAATATGTTTGCGCCTTGGAGTACTGACTCTGAATTAATCTGCTCTTACAGTAAATGTGAGAGCAGCAAGTGCAGCGCCAAACAGGCGGTGGGTTTCCAGCTGCTAGCCAACTCCTGTGAGACAAGCTCTGAGGTACCAGTTAACGAGAACTTCATTTTAGCTTAATCAGCTAATTCCGCTTGCCATTCCCGACACTAAGGTTGCCATGGTGAGTAAACAAATAACTAAAAACAACAAAGTAGAAGTTCTGTGTGTGTTCGCCAGCTCTAATGAACGGCTCACAATTCTTCATTCATATATTAAAGTAACAATTATACAAGCAGACAGTCCTTACCGCATTAATTCCGAAGGGCATAGTTTGAATGTCGTTGGTTTCTGTAGTCAGCTGCCTTTTTAAAGTGGCTGTGGCAGATGTTTCTAATGCTAAACCCACACATGCTACTCCACACTGCCAACATCTTTGTTGCTGCAGTAGGTCTCAGTATCAGTGGCCGCTTTACACAGCTGGCCAGGGTGGCAATTACAAGCGGCCGCATTGTGGTTGCTTCAAAATTGTTAGAGTATAGTATAAGATTGAAAACACTATTTGTAGAAATAAGATCCCAGCTAAGAAAACACTACAATGTGCAACAGGCGACGTGAGTCAATATGTCACAGACGTCTACTGTACAAGTGGTGAGCTGAATGGTCTTGCGGTTTGGTTTTCAAGACTCATGCTTAGATCTTCGTCTCTTCTTCATCACCGAACGGGTGAAACATCTTTAGAATGACACATTTTCAAGTTAAAACAAGTTCAGCTGTCTGTAACTTACAGTAACACATACTATTC